CTGTGTCTGTCAGCAGCGTGGAACCATTATATGTATAGGGTGCTTCTAAAAGAAAGATAGTTTCGTTAACAGAAGCGATAGAGTAGAATTTAGATACGTTCTGTCAGCAGCGTGGAACCATCGTACATGGTGTCACTAGAAAAAAAGGACGACTTCATTGACAGGAGTTATAGGAGACATATACAGTGTGTAAAAAATGTTCCTGTACTCGGAGCTTAATAATTTCTGGTGAAACGGATCGCGTTGATACTTTCGTAAATTGTTTTATATCCTTTTATGTCGGTCACTTAACTCGGTTGGTAAATTAAACAAAATTTGTACGTTTTTGTCTTTGGATCCATTTTTGAAATAATTAACGAGACGTAAATGCCGTGAAAGTTGGGACCATTATTTCGTAGAAAAGGAAAAGAAATAGAATTGACCAATTAGTAGGACGTTAGACGTGCATCCACGCAGATAAGATAAGAATCATTCACACGTGACACAATTTTATCATCCTTGTGGGACGCGACCGCGGTCGCGCGCGCGCGCACGAATCGACGTATCGTTGACTACTACGTGCAGCTATGCAAGGAATCGTGCGGTCAGACTCCTTTCCCATCCAGGATTCCCGGAAAACGGGAACGATTCGTGGCACATATGACATAAATTTTAATTAGACGATTCCATTCTATCGTGTATTCGACGTGTGAACGATCTTCTTGTCCTCCGTGTCTATAAATCGGCTCTGTCTCTATGTGAACAGGACGTTTGTGACACGTCAGTTAGGATACCTGAAAAATATACCATTCTAATGTACTTGAATCACACGATTCAGTAAAACGATATTATAACAAATTTTACAGAAGTGGTACTATAACAAATTTCCAATGTTTCCTAAAGTTCCTTGTTAAACTTCGAATCCTACCAACTCTAGCGTATCGACGCGAAGGGTCAAATTTACAGAACAATTGAACAGAATTGAATTGAATCTATCGCATTTTCCCCAAAAGCGTTCAATAGATTTTCCATCGTGCTTCTCGGCCAATTTAACGATTCGATTAACGACGACACAGTACCCGTGGATGCACATACAGAGAGAGAGTAGCTGGGTGAATTATCGAGTTCCCCGGGTAGTCGACTACCTATAACCAGCGGAATGCATCTGGATGCATCGTATAGTACCGCTCGTGCAGTCGTGAGGGACGCGATCGACCTCTTGCGGAGAGTTGCCTTAACCTTTTGGATTTTTTCTTACTCGTTTCAGCCCGCTGCCTGCCCGGATGCGACGAGCAGCACGGACACTGTGGTCGACCCGACGAATGCATGTGAGTATTATACGCACACAATCCACTTATATTCATTCTGTCTCGTTCACTCTTGACGAGTACGTGTTACATACGTGTGTAGCAACCACTCTTCTTCTTCTCGTCCTTCTTCTTCACCTTCTTCGTCTTCTTCTTCTTCTTCTTTACTGATATTACATTCCTGACTCGATACCTGCACGCGGTGTATCATACTCGTGCCGCATTAATAATGACGCCTCGATAAACGAGCTTCCCGCGAAAGTTGATCGTTAATGAGTCTAACGCCACCGATGCACCGCCATTAATTGGTCCGCCGTGAGAAAGCGCGACATTTGACACGGCTTCCGAAAGGAATCGGTCGATCTTTTATTCGATGCTTGATTTTGTACCACCAGTTCAAGTTGCTTTTCTCTAATTTTATAAATCGCTTTTTGCAACGTAGCAAATTCATTTTGCAATTTGTTAGATCTCTCGAAGGATTTACCTTAGCCTTTAGAAATTCGTTTTTCTTTTTTCTTAAATTTGTAAAATTGATCAGAAATCGTTCGACAGATTATTCATGGTATCTAAGGAACGTGGTTCGGTGTTTCAAAAAATTTTCGAAAATAGAATTTTTCGTTTGTTTCCGTCGTAACGAGGAGGTGCCAACTTGCGCGCCTCTTTTTCTCCATCGTCCACTTCCCTTCTTTTTCCCCTAGACAGTGGCGAAGTCGCGCCACAATGTGTCGTTGAACCTTTCTAATTCGATTCGAAAAAGGAAAATCTGGATCGTCTGAGTTCAGAGATCGATTCGAGAATTTCTGTATTTGCCGGGAATTCTACTTCGCTATAAATACTCGAGCGGCTCGAGTCGATCCCTCTATTCTTTTCGCTTGGTTACGGATTTTTTCTTGGCAGAAGCGGAGAATGCATTCTGCGCAACGGATGTTTTAACCCGTTCCAAGTTAGAATCTCTTTCAGAACTGGAGTTTATTTTACATCGCTGGTAGAAAATGTAAATGATTGAAATTAACAGAAGAGTTTGAAGAAAAGATTTTTCTAAGTCGTTCAATATGAATCTTACCATAAATTCTAACGTTCTTAATAAGTATATCTTGCACAGTATTTGTTATAGGTATCACCTTTAACCTCAAATCGTTGATTTTGAAGCACTCTGTATAAACATTACCTTAACCTCAGATCGTGGATTTTCAAACACCTGTGCACAAATATTACCTTAATCTCGAAGCTTTAATTTTGGAACACACTGTATAAGCATTTCCTTAACGTTAAACCGTCGATATGGACGCAATAATGGTAATACGTAGGTTAGGTTAATCGCAGTTGTGTATTCCTTAGGTTAAGTCTCTAAAATCACGTTAATAAAATTTGGGGAAAGAGATTCCGCGATAATTCCGATCCGTCTCCGCATGGGACGTCGAATCTCGGTACGACGTTAACCCGAGGTTTAGAGTTAACTCGATCATCTAATTACTGCACGAGACCGGGGTTAATTGTCCCGTTAGCCGCAGCCGTCAGTCCCCGACGAGTTCCCTCCAGGCTCGTTCTCTCTGTGTTTCTCCACGGGTTTATCATTTCTCCGCGCGCCCTCCTTCTTCAAACACGATTTCGCGTGGTTGCGGAAAAATAATATTTTCGAAAATAGACGGGCCGCCGGTCCAGACGGTGGTGGCTGATGTTGCTCGCCTTTTAAATGTCCCAGACGACCGGAAATTTATGGGCATACCGTAGACACGCAAACAAACAAAGTCACAAAGCCGTGGCGTAAATTATTCGTCGAATATCGCGACACCAGAAACGTTTTTTCAAGATGCCGACTTTGCATTCGAGGGAAAAACCTGTTGCGAAAATTGTGATTGGTTCGACTGTCGAGCAACTTTGTGCAGAAAGATTAAACAGAAAAGGTGTAGGTACTGTGATTCGTGGAGGTTCACATTTTCCAGTAGTTTATGTAAAAATCGCTGTAAATCGTGACTTAGATAGAACGAAGTAGGTTAACGCCATCGATTATATTGATATATCCATGGTGTGCGCCATATTCTTTAATTCTTCCGCTTCGAAGAATTGAATTTCGAGAGCAGAATCACGATTGCGTGGACACCGGGTAATATCTGTTTTCTGACTGCGTAGCCGTATGCGTGGAAATAGTCGATATGATCGCTAAAAGCAATTGCCGTGAGAGCCTCATGGGATGTTGGCCCCGTTCGTGAAAGAATCGCGGTTATACGGTGTCCCATTGAAATTTCGGAGACCGTGGTCACTCGCGTGTGTGGTATCTGAATACCGATGAAGATGCACATCGTGCATCATTTTACCATCTTTCTTTACTTCTCTCTCTCTCTCTCTCCCTCTATTTCTTTCGAATGCGTCAACCTAACCTATACTTCCGTCATATATTCGCAACTTTCCCGAGTACCAACTGTTTCTCAATTTTACATTATTAATTCAGAAATCTCGCGTACCTATTCATTTGATCACCAATGTGTTAAGTACCAGTACTCACGAGCAAATGCCATATCTTTATCTCTTGTCAATAATTTAAAACACAGACATTCCTAAATACCGATACTCACGAGGCCCTAATGCCACCAAGTACCGATATTCTTGCGATCCCCAAACCACACATCCCCCCTCCCCCCTCTCTCTCGAACCGAGTATCAATTACCCGATTGCCTAAACCCCCCCTCAACTGTACCAATACTGTCCAAGTATTCTATCCACTTTCTAGCTTGTTTCATGCCTGCTCCCCGTACTCGCTCTGATTTCGAATACATCACACACAGCGTATATATCCTCCCGTGTAGCATCATCCACTGGAAACGAACCATCTAACCTAACTTCTCTCGTGAGCCATCAGAAATCCGTTTCGCGTCCTAGGAAGAGAAGCACTAGGAGAGAGAGAAGAAGACAGCTCGAAGAATCACACGGATGCTTCGACCGTCTCATTGGCTAGGCGCGTATACAAACGACCACGAATATACACCGCGGCACAGTTCGGCTCGTTTCGTTCTGTCTCTTTTACTCTCCGTCATCTCTACTAGTATGGCTCCTCGTCTTACCTTCTCTCTCTCTCTCTCTCTTTCTCTGTCACTCCTTCTCTTTCTCGATTACGCTCTGAGTGTGTACATGGGATTTAATGGTATAGTCATGCGACGTCGACCGCTCTACGGAGACTATGTACTTCTCTTTTCCTCTACAATCGATATATAGTCATATATATATAACACAGAGGAGCGTAACCTTTCCTTGACCCGCATACTGAACGGCTGTGCCGAGGCTCGAACCGTGGGAACACAACTCGACGACTCGTCTCCCCACTCTCCTTCGAATTCTACCTCCTCTCCTATCTCTCTTGGCTAAGGCTCTTCCTCTCCCTTCTCTTTGCTGCTTCTCTCCTTCTCCTTCTTCCTTTCTCTTTCTTTCCTTCACCGTGGACTGGTCTCCCTGGCTCATTCTCTATTTCTGCCTCCTCTTTCCTTCTTTCTTTCTCTTTCCCCGTGTGTATAGAAGAGGTGTGCATACGTGTGCACTTGTGTAATATCGTACATATGTATATACACACCTCTTTCTTCGACTGTTTCTCTCTCTATCTAACGTTTGGTCTTGTTCTATCTTTTCTGAGGACCTCTTTGTCCTTCCTGCACCAGTGTAACCCCCTTGGACGTAATGGCCGACCACCATATCCTCCTCGTTTCCCTTCTTTCTCTCCGCCTGCCCTGCTGGATCCAGCTTCTTTCCACCTTCTTCAAGCTTTGTGTATCCTCCGTTGCGGAATTTCTTTTTCCGACATTTTTCTCTCTCTTTTCGAGATCTTTTTTAGGAGAAATTTAGCGGTATGTCAGAATAAGTTACGGTGTTACGAAATATCTTTAATTTTATAGGTTAGTTTTGGTGCATGCGAAGTGTTTTTATTTTCGTTAACTACGTATAACCTCACGTGATAGACTCTTTCATATCGAGGGAAGTATGAATGCAATATTTTAAATACACAAAATGCATCGACGCAATTAAGGCATATTTTAATTAAACATGGCGTCCTGTAAACATATTTCATATGCACCAGCCTAATACTAATGCCGTGGGAGGCTCAATTAATTCCATTGGCCACCAAAGAGATGGATGATGATCCCGCGTACCATTCTATTTTTATCACATTCCCTGAAATTACTTCCACGTGAGGATCGATTAGTATTTAACGATCGAAGTAATTAGACTTCGCTGCTCGTTACACACCTCCGCTCTTCACTTCGTTCTATGAAGGTTAGGTTCGAACAGAGTCACCCGGTATAAAGGTTGGTTACCTGGAAACGGGGATTCCTCCTCGTCCCATCTCCTCCTCCTCCTCTTTATTGCGCATCCTCTATCGCGTTCCATCATTTTTCATACGCGTTTAACGAGGTCTTTGACATTCGTCTTCGACGAGGGCCGGGAGATTCTAATCACGCCGGTTGCCAAGGGGATAGATCCCGACACCGCGCGGAATTCACCTTTTCCAATTTATACGATAATTAACCCTTCAATCGTAAAACGTCTTTTTCGCACGAAATATGAAAAAATCAGAATCGCAGCAAGGCTTGTTCAAAAATCTACCATATTCTAACCTAATCTTTATCGAATATTCAAGTCTCCATCTAAAGAGAAAAAAAAAGGCAGAGCACTGAACTTCTCAAAAAACTAAGCACAGCAAAGCCTGTTTAAATCGATCTCGACAACAAATTCCTAAAGAAAGAAAGAAAAAAGGAAATCCACTAAGGATTACACAACTTGCTACTCCCTTCACCTCCAAAGTAGTAGCAGTTTCTCCTCCGCATACTTGCAAAAGGAAAGCATCCAGACGCACTTTCACCCCGTGCTCTCCTCCTTGCTTGCAAAGAAAGAAAATCGAGGCAGCGTGTTAACCAGTACCATCCTTCTCTGTTCCAGATGCCACAATGGTTGGAAGGGAGCGTACTGCGATCAATGCGTCCGCTATCCTGGCTGCCTTCACGGTACCTGCCAGAAACCCTGGGAGTGCCTCTGCGACGAAGGCTGGGGCGGACTGTTCTGCAACCAAGACTTGAACTACTGCACGAATCACAAGCCCTGCCTGAATGGCGGCACCTGCTTTAACACCTTTAACGGGCAGGGTTTGTACACCTGCTCATGTGCGCCTGGCTTCAACGGCACCAACTGCGAGAAACCTCTTTTGGATTGTGACTCGAACCCCTGCCTGAATGGTGGATCGTGCGCCATGGAGACGTCATACACGAACTCGACTGCTCTGGCCCTTTCAAAATCATCCATGGACTCCTCGTCGTCCTCTGTGTCCACCTCGTCATCATCCAGGCATTATCGTTGCACCTGTCCACCCGGTTGGCGTGGCCGCCACTGTGAGATCACCTCGAGATCATGTCGAGACTCCCCGTGCCACCATGGAGCCATCTGCGAGGATGATTCTCTTCATGGTTACGTGTGTCGTTGTCTACCAGGCTACACAGGCAACGATTGTGAATCTCAGCTCGACCAGTGTGCACCGAATCCATGCTCCAACGGTGGCAGTTGTACGGATCTTGGCAACAGCTTCAGATGTACTTGCCCAGCTGGTTTCACTGGTGAACGGTGTGAGACTAATATAGACGATTGTCAAGGAGATCCTTGTTTAAATGGAGGGACCTGCGTGGATCAAGTTAATCAGTTCCGTTGTCAGTGTGTGCCTGGTTTCGTCGGTAGGCTATGTCAGGATAAAGTGGACTACTGTCTCACCAAACCCTGTGCAAACGGAGGAAGGTGTATCTCTGGAACGAACGACTACAGGTGTGCTTGCATGCCAGGCTTCACCGGTAAAGATTGTAGCGTGGACGTGGACGAGTGCAGGAGTGCACCTTGCAGAAACGGAGGCACTTGTCTGAACAGAGTGAACGGTTTTCTCTGCCAGTGTTCCAATGGTTGGCATGGAGATACATGTTCAGAGGAAGTAGGAAGTGGTGCAGCTATTCTTCCAACTGCTGTAGTTTCTACCAATTCTCTATCTAACACAGCAACAGCGGTTCCAGGAGTACCACCATCAGGAGCTAGTTACTTGTCAGGGAACCTCTCCAGGCATATAGCCTCCGCTTCCGCTGAGCCTAGGGATGCAGGATTGACCACGGAACATGTTGTAGTTATAGCTACGTTATCTACAGCTGTACCAGCGTTTGTGTTAGTAGCAGCGGTAGCAGTGATGTGTATGAAGAGGCGACAGAAAAGGGAACAAGCGAAGGCTGACGAAGAGGCCAGGCTACAGAATGAAAGGAATGCTGTGCACAGTAGTATGAGCAAGAGGAGCGGTGGAGTAATGGGCGGTGTTGGCGGTGGACCAGGAGTTGGCTCTACCGGTAGCACAGGGGTTGGAATTGGTAACGTTGGTCTGCTTGGAGGCGGTGGAAGCGGTATGATCAGCGGTGGTGGCGGTGGAAGCGTGTGCACCCTTGGCACAGGGGATGCTCATATGATCAAGAACACATGGACGGCGAACAAGAGCGTGAACAACGCCGCGTCCGCCAGACAGGACGACCTCGACTCGTCGTTTCAAACGGACGTCACGCTGGACAGCTCTTGCTCGGGTTACAAGCCAGAACCGGTGCTGCAGGACGGCCGAACGCGGACCACGAAGCAACTGAACACGGAGGCGGCAGCTCACAGGGCGTCCCACCTTTTCCAGAAGGAGAAGGACTGCCTGGGCCTAGGGCTGGGCATAGGCGTCGGCGTTGGTGTACTGGAGACCGCGAAAAGGTCGTCGGTATTCGCGGGAAACACGACGACGGACAGCTGTTGCGCGGCGGAGGCGGCGTTGCTCAAGAGGCCACCGACCACCATCACGGAGGGAGGCAACGGTCCTCCCGGAAGCGGCGGCGGTGGAGGAGCGGAGTCTGGCTGCGGGGTGTACGTTATAGACGATCACTATAGGCACGACGCGTCGCTTGCGGCGACGCTCGCGACGGAAGTGTAGTTTTTTTCCTTCTTAATGAATTACGATGATATATATGTATATGTAAAAGTACATGTATATGTGTAACGTAATTGTGCGAGCCAGTCGATAGATGGACGATGATGGACTCCTTATGTTTCTTATGAAATTGAATATTCTCGTTTTTTCCTCCTCGTGACGAAAAGAAGAAGTTGTGCATGTATTGTTCCCCCACCACCATGCGACTCAATAAGCGTTGGAAGAACTCTTATTTCTCTTTCGTTCGATCGTGTCGTGTGCACACATATACACAGGGCACACACGCCGGCCGTCCTAGTGCTACTATTACTATTTACTACTACACTACTACCATCTGCCAGCGATACGTATATTACGCGTGCAATTGTACGACGAATATAGACAAACGCGTGTGTGACGTATTCACCGCCGTGTTGTGTGCAACGCGCGTGCGCGCGCTCGCCTCTCTCCGTTATGGGCCAGCGGGTGAACGGGCGTGCGTTTCTTCGCGATTCCTTTGTTTCTCTCCTTCTCCCGTTACTACTGCTCGCGCAGGACGTCGCGCGTGAGAACGTTCCACCGGACTTTGCCATCACGACGATGACGATGATGACGACGACGATGGATGTTGTTGTTGCTGTTGCTTGTTGCTGATGGCAGGAATAAGACGCGCGATCCTCTTCGAAGTTATTGACGACGGAGCAGGGAGACTAAAAGAGAATTTCTAACCTAAAAAAAAAAAAGAAAGAGAAGGAAATGGAAGATGAAGAAGACGACGATGACAATGACGATGAAAGAGGAAGAGACTTTTTAGCGAAGAGTTTTGACAGTAGGGGAGCAAAATGGCGATATATATA